CACTCCAGCCTGGGCAACAAGAGCCAAACTGCATCTCAAAAAAAAAAAAAAAATTATTAAGATGACTATCTCCAATTATTTATTTAGTAAAAGAAGCTATATTGACAGGGAAGGACCTATCAAATATTTAGAAGGCAGTGTAGTTATTTTGTATTAGGAAGGATTATGATTTGTACATTGATTCAGAGAGTATTTACAAGTGTACATTGTATGCAGAGCCTTGTAGCCACAGAATGTGCTTCTCTTCTCCCCCTCAAAGGAGGGTTTTGGTCTAGGTGATCTATAGCAATAGCAACATTCCCAACTCTCTCAGTGCAATTTCAGGTCACAAAACCCAGGCTCTTGATCCCTAGTCTGCTCATGTTAACACTGGAGCATTTGCTTCTTGGTTCCAAAGGAATAGAGAAATGATACCGAATGCAGAACTCATCTTGGAGGAACATGTTTTCTAGGAGAGAGAATTAAAATTACAAAAGAACAATTGTAAAGCAAATCGCAGTATGATACCTCTCAAATCATATAGTTAAGTGGAATAGAAACTTAGAGGCAGGCATAGGGTGGTCAATGAAAGAATGGCTGAGGGCATTTGAGCTGACCAAACTTATGGGGACTCTACAGATTACAACGTGCTTTTTCTCTTTTTTAATTTTTCAGAATTTTGTTTTCACTTTTTGCATGTGGAATTGAGAAAAATATTTTTTCCAGCTTTATTTAGGTATATTGACCAGTATTTAGAGTGTGTGACTCCAGCTTCTATTAACCTTCCATGGTACTCCTAGAATACTGAATAAAATAGTGGGGGGCTGAGGCAAAGAGGGTCTGTTTCAGGCTTGATTCCTAGGGAGCCACTTAACAGGAATCCTTTTATAAAAACGTAATGACTCTTGAGGAAAGTAGGCTTTGGAGCTGCTAGTATCTATCAAGTTATCAAGGATGGCTGAGATGCAGTTGGATTTGAAGGAAAAGACGATGCCTGATCCTCGAATCAAGATTTTACATTTTAGACAGGGCATGGTGGTGGGCTTCCTCTGCAAGCCTGTAGACTAGCTTTGGTTAGAGAAACCTTAAAGATTAGCTCCTTAAACTGTTCACAACCTGCAACCAAGAACAGAAATCTGGTTTTCTTTCCTTCCATAACTTCAGATTATATCATCTAAGCTGTAAATTAAACAGGGAGAGACATTTAGGATTATATTTTTACTGTCATCAGTTTCCTGACTCTGCCACAACTGTTCAAAACACACCTTAGTTTGTACTCTATTGACGTATGAAAGGACAGTATTCATTTGACATCTTTTTCATATTTACAGTTTCGTTTATACAGCAAGTAGAAGTACATGATATTTTGAGCCAAGAACAACCTTATATTAACATAATTCAGCAATGCTGAGTACTTTACCAATGAATATCAAACTTCAGTAAAAGATTTAAAATGAAGAAAGAGAAGAAACATGAAGGGCTCAATTTAAGAGTAACGTTTTAAGATTTTACATAATGAGACAGAGGTATTTTTCTTTGTAGAATTAGGTGCTCTTTTCTTGTAACTACAACTGGCAAATATTCTTTGCTCTTCCTCCTTCTTTTTGAAAATTAAGTGATACAATTTGGAAAAAGAAAGTTGTGCTTGTATCTGTTCCTAACCAAAGGCCAGCAGTGGATATTGGTTAGGAACAGATCCACTAACCTGTTCATGTTACTGTATATCCCATATCCTGAGCCTAAATTCATTATTTACATGAACAAACTAGTTAGATATGAAATATTCCCTAATGGGTTTTTTAAATTGTGAGTTTCTTTGTTTGTTTGTTTGTTTTTTTAGACAAGTCTTGCTCTGTTGTCTGGGCTGGAGTGCATTGGCATGATGGCATGATCACAGCTCACTGCAGCCTTAATCTCCCTGGCTTAAGCAATCCTCCCACTTCACTTCAGCCTCCTGAATAGCTGCAACCACTGGCATGCACGAACACACCTGGCTCATTTTTTATTTTTTGTAGAGATGGAATCTCACTGTGTTGTCCTGGCTGGTCTCAAACTCCTGGGCTCACTGATCCTGTGATCCTCCCAACATGGCCTCCCAAAGTGCCTGTGACTTTTATATTCTACCTCAATTATTTGCCATTTATTTTGACTTATAGAGAGGCATGAAATGTAAATTCAGTGAAGAATTTGGAAAATGCCTTTATTTATATTATTGATATTTAAGTAGTGACTTGAAGAAAACATATTTGCTTCAAAATATATTGTTATCAAAGTCAGGGTTTTGTCCAGTAAAACTTACTGCATCTTTTAATATAGCACTGTCCAGTAGAACTTTCTGTGATGATTGCTGTGGTCTATAACCTACTTTATCCAACACAGTAGCCACTAGCCACAGAGCACTTGAAATGTGTTCACTGTGACTGAAAAACTAAATTTTAAATTGCATTTAATTTAAATTAACTTAAATTTTAATTTAGCAACATGTGGCTGGTGACTGCCATATTGGACAATGCAGCAAGCAATACATTCGCATGTTGTTTATCTCAGATATAAAGTTACTCACTATTTAGAAGCCAATATAGAGGTATGAGATTGCTTTTAAGGAACAGATAGAAGTCCCAATTGTCCATTAAAATAATTTTGTCAATCCAAGCAGACTTGGGATGAAACATATGAAAACATTTTGATTGAATTGACTGCTAAGTTTTATTTGTTTTTTCCTTTATTTAGAAAATAGCCATTAAGCACATAGTAATTGCTCTGCATTGTGTGAAGTGCCTGGGATACAAGAAGTTTAAAGCATGTTCACTGCCTTGAAGAAATCCACTAGGTAGACAAGGTGGACAGAAAGTAGTAAGAAACATCCGTATAAGGCAGAACAGAGTTGAGAAAGAGGAAAGAGTCTAGGATGACTTGCAGATTTCAGTCTTGAGTGACTGGGTGGAGGGTGGCACTATTCATCAGTAGGAGACACTAGAGGTGGAACAGGAGTCTACATCATGTTGAATTGAGGTTAGATAGCCACGTGCATGTGCTGAAGGTAGTTGGATATGTGGGTCTACAGCTTGGGAAGAGGTCTTGAGGCAGAGCTGTGGGAGTCACCCATAGTTAAAGCCAAGGGATACGATATGGTCTGCAAGGCAGATAATATAAAGAAATAACAGAACTCCAAGAACAGCCCTGAAGAGGTACCAGCATTTATGATGTGGAAAAACATTCTATTATACTAAATTGGCTTATAAATTTAGTCAGAGATTGAAAAATTATTTTTAAAATATATAATAATATAGTATTTTTGTTTTAAAATAATATGCGGGCAAATTTACAAGTGACTCCAGTTATGTTTGTTTCATGACACTGAAAATCAAATCAGTAAGAAACATTTTATATATTTTATATTTAATTTTTAATTAAATTATTCATTGATAGTAACAATATAAAATATTTAATTAAATATTTAACGTATATTTAATTTTAATATATTTTATATATTTTAAGCATTCCATATTTAATATTTTAGAGTCCGATTATACACACAAATGACTGAGTTAACTCATTAACTAGTTGTTTTATACTGTGTAAATCAATACTTCCTAAATATTACACATTTCGGATATTCAAAATGAATTTTCAAGCTCTTAATATTTTACTGTTAGATATAAATTATGTAAATAAATTGATTTTGTCCAGTTCCTGTGAAATATAGAATGGAAAAATTTCTGCCCATTGGATCAGAATTCACTTTTTGAAACCATGTGGAATAACCCAGTTTTTCTCTTAATTATGTGTCTTCTGAGTATGCTTTGAAAGTTTTATAGATATCATTTTGCCACTGTCTTGCTGCTCTGAGGCCTTGTTCATTTTTATAATATTTATTATCAGATTTTAATTTCTCATTTTGTGGAGTAATAGGGGTTTTTCAAAAGAAAAACTTGTGAAAAAATACATTTCAATAACAGAATCTCAGCTATGAAATTTTTAAGGCTTGAAACACTATTGTCAATATTAAAAATAAGATTCTCATTCATTCATATTTTCTCCCCCCATACTTAATTGGTGAAAAGTAAGCTAGTATTTAGACTCTAGTGTGCCATGAAGCTGCATCTCACCTTGGGCATCGAAATTCTAATTTTGATAGAAATGAATTGTTAATGAACCCCAAGAATAGAGAGTTTCTGTAATTATAGGAAACAAAATTAAATTGGGCCTAAAGGCATTTTTTGGTGATTGCAGTTGGTTTAAAAATTGAGAAAGAATATTCACTCACACACCTTGGCTTTTAAAAAAATCTTGCTTTGCTCCCCACTTTTAAAAAGAGGCATTGTAGCGGGGAAACGGGAGGGACAGCAGTGGGTGGGGAGTTGGGGAGAGATAGCATGGGGAGAAATGCCAGTTATAGGTGATGGGGAGGAAGGCAGCACATCATACTGCCATGTGTGTACCTATGCAACAATCTTGCATGTTCTTCACATGTACCCCAAAACCCAAAATGAAAAAAAAAAAGAGGCATTGAGACCTGCAGCAAACTTCATTCTAGTGAGGGTCCAGATGATTTTTTTTTTTTTGTAGATGTGAAGAACAACTTTGTGGGAAAAATGATACCTCAAATATTGATAATGTTCTGTATTAGGGAAAATAAAACAAATTTTTTATTTGAACCTTTTTATTTTATGATAGAAAATTTTGATTTAAATGGCAAGTGAGATATGCTTACCATCTCTCTTTTTACCTATTTATAGTAGATCTCAAGGCCAAAGAGGACATACTAGCACGGAAGTTGTTTGTGCTGAACCTGCTGCTGCTGCTGCTGCTGCTGCTACCTTAGACGTATGTACATTGAGGGCCACAGACTACAATCTTGGCCCTTTATGCATGTGATGTTGATTATTTAGTTACTGTGTGTTGCCAAGAAGCACGTCATAAGGATGTGACACATGAGCAGTGTTTCACAGTTGCCATCTTGCAGACATTTCTTATTAGGAGCCAGTAACTTCCACATATGGAATGGCCTCTGTAGTAGCTTGAAAAAGAATTAAGCTAAGCTCCATACCAGATGTTGTTCAGGGTCTTTTTGTCTTGTGAGTACATTTCATAATGAAAGTTTACTGACCTGCCTGGTATAGAAGGGTATGTGAGCAGACCCATCAGACTATATCATACCATCAAGGGGAGAACCCAGTGCCTAATTAGCCTAGGTTGTCCCCATCGGCTCTCTAAGACAATCAATGTATCATCCATTTTTTCATTAACCAGATATTACTAGAAAGAACCTTTAGGGTATATACATTAATAGAAATCTAAAACCTGGGTCTACCCTCAGTGATCTGATCAAACTCTAGTCTGGGAATTAAAATCAGACTACAAGAAGAGAGGTACAGAAAAACAGAAGAGGTATCCCAGAAGGCATTTCCCAGGTTAAAAAGTGACAGGGTGGTTCTTCACCTTACCTGCCACTCCATGGGTGCATGTACTACAGCTGGTAGGCTGGATCACCACAGTGGTAACAGGGCTACAGAGAGAAAACATGGTTGAGACATGAGAAGACAAGGATTTGATTCCTAATTCTGCCACTTACCAGTTACGTGGCCTGGAGAGTTATTTTATCTCTGACAGCCTCAGTTTCCTCATCTGTAAAGTGGAAGTCGTAATAATAATCTCTGCTAGACTACATCATATGGATATAATAATGCTCAAAGGAATCTTGGGATATTGTTTGTACTCCTGTAATAGAATGAAATCTCTGTGAGAGGAGAGACCATTGGCTGTCTTGTTGGTGAGCATATCCCCAATATTTTGAACAAGGCTTATTACACATGCTAGGCACTCATAAATATTAGATGCACAAATGAGTACTCTCTGTTAAAGCACTCTGTTATTTTTATATAACTCTTCAAATGTTTGGTAAAGGGATTTCAAGAGCAGTACAGACAGGCTGCATGCATAGACTCTAACTTTGGTTTTCAGACCTCCATGTGTTTTGCCTGAATGAATTTGTACTGGGATCAGTGCACACAGCAGGTCTTTTCAGTATTTAAGTTCTCCTGTAACATGGAGATGTCGTGAGTACATATTTTAAATATGAAGTGCTGATTTTATATTGAATTTTTCAAGTATTGCTCATTTAACAAAGTATATCTATGTAAATAAAACTTTCTCCATTCTGAAAAAGTGTCTCTGCTTAACCTGATATTCTGTTCGAAGAAATATGAAACAAAGAGAAAAGTAGGTAGAAGAAGGCTAATTTAGACAGAGCAATGTTTTGTTTACACACAAACTAATTACAGGTATTAGTTTGTGTGTAACAGCCAGTCAGTAAATAAATATTTACCCAGGGTTTATACTATACAGTGTGTGAAGAATCCAGAGTCCTTAAACTTGGTATGTGTTGAAGAAAGCTGGATTAAAATATTCTCATTTTACAAAACATATAATGCCTAAGTAATTATTTAAAGAAAATTGTTTAAAAAGAAAAAACAGAAAAGAAACAAGTAATGCCACTGCAGTGGCACAGCTGCTATTTCATTTTGCTTATTCCCATTCAGTCTTAGTCCACCAACGTATATATTTCTCATGTAAAATATAGCTTACATGCTACTGCATACTCTTGGCTTCCACTTATCACTAAGTTCCATTTTTTTCTACAGTCACATTGATCGTTTTAAAATCTGTATAATATTCCCTGAAATTGGGAGATGTCTGCTTCTAGCCAAGATGGAGTTAGGGGGCCAGGTTAACTTGCCTACCTGAAACAGGCAAAAATAAAACAGACAAAATATATGACATAACAATTTTCATGGTAATGGCCATCAAGTATCAAAAGCCACGGACTCTTGAGCAATTGGAAATCAATGAGGGGAGCTCCACAGTTACCTCAGCTTACTACATAGCAAGTTTCTGGGCCACATTGCAGAGAAAGAGAATACACATGTAGCCCAGTGAACTGCCTGAGTTGAGATTCACGTGAGAGTATAGGGAGACTAAGTTTGCTAGCAGAGTCCCAGAGAAGAGAGAGCTGCATGGAGAAAGAATGCAGAGATCTGCGAGGGACCCCCTCTAGTATTCAGCAGCATATTGATTGGTATAGTCACTTGCAGAAGCTGCTTGAAGAGGGGCTAGGGGAAAAACCATTCCAGAGGATTACAGAGAATAATGCTAGTACTCAAAAAGGATTGATAATAGTTCTTGTTCCTACCAGCCATACTGGAAATCCTCATAAAACACAAGAGATTAAGTGAGAGTACACAGAAATGTCTTGAATCAAGTGTGGAGAATAATTAACCATAGTGATATGGTTTGGATCTATATCCTCACCCAAATCTCATGTTGAATTGTAATCCCTAGTGTTGGAGGTAGGGCCTGGTGGAAGGTGATTGGATCATGGGGGTGGAGCTCTTTTTTTTTTTTTTTTGAGGTAGGGTCTTGCTCTGTTGCCCAGGCTAGAATGCAATGGCACAATCTCGGCTCGCTGCAACCTCTGCCTCCCTGGTCCAGGTGATTCTCGTGCCTCAGCCTCCCAAGTAGCTGGGACTACAGGCTTGTGCCACCATGCACCACTGATTTTGTATTTTTAGTAGAGACAGGGTTTCACCATGTTGGCCAGGCTGGTCTCGAACTCCTGACTTTGGCCTCCCAAAGTATTGGAATTACAGGCATGAGCCACCGCACCTAGCCAAGGGGTGGAGTTATCATGAATGGTTTGACGTCATCCCCCCTTGGTACTGTATAGTGAGTTTTCATAAAATCTGGTTGTTTAAAAGTATGTAGCACCTCCCCTACTGTCTTCTTCCTGCTGCAGTCGTGTAAGAAGCCTGCTCCCACTTTGCCTTCCCACATGAGTAAAAGCTCCCTGAGGCCTCTCCAGAAGCAGATGCTGCCATGTTTCCTGTAGAGACTGTGAAACTGTGAGCCAATTAAGCCTCTTTTCTTTATAAATTACCCAGTCTCAGGTATTTTTTTATAGCAGTATAAGAACAGACTAATACACTTAGGCTAAATGTTGCTCTGGTGCCCACTAACAAATCAAAAAGGAAAGACTAAAAAGGATCAAACTATTTACAAATGTCTTAGTGCATTTTGTGCTGTTATAACAAAGTATCTGTGACTGGGTAATTTATAATGAACAGATATTTATTTCTTACCATTCTAGAGCTGGGAGTCTAAGGTCAAGGGACCTGCATCTTGTGAGGGCCTTCTTGCTGCATCATCCCTTGGTGGAAGTTGGAAGGGCAAGAGCACAAGTGTTGAGAGAGGGGAAAGGAGGCAAACTTATCTTTTACCAGGAAGGGATTCCCATGATAATGACATTCATTGATATATGAGAGCAGAGCCCTCATCACGTAATCACCCCTTAAAGATCCCACATCTCAATACTGTTGCACTGGAGGCTAAATTTTCAAAACATGAACTTTGGGGGACACATTTAAACCATACGATTCTGTCCCTGGTTTCCAAAATTTATGTGTTTTCTCACATGCAAAATGCATTGATTACATCCCAATGGCCCCCAAAGTCTCAATTCATTCCAATATGAACTTAAAAGTCCAAAGTCGCTGGGCGCAGTGGCTCACGCCTGTAATCCCAGTACTTTGGGAGGCCGAGACAGGCGGATCACAAGGTCAAGAGATCAAGACCATTCTGGCCAACATGGTGAAACCCCGTCTCTACTATTAGCTTGGCACGGTGGCGCGCACCTGTAGTCCCAGCTACTCGGGAGGCTGAGGCAGGAGAATTGCTTGAACTCAGGAGGTGGAGACTGCAGTGAGCTGAGATTGTGTCACTGC